GGGGGTACTAGATTCCAAAATTCCTGTGCATGCGTTTTTGATGCATTCTGAAAATGTTCTGCTCTGCATGTGCTTCCAGACTTGGTGTGAACAAGCCCTAAGACTAAAGACACAGAAGAGCACCATGAAAAAGCACCAAGAACCGTGCCAATAAAATACCAATAACATAAAGCAAATGTGTAAGTGCTTAAACCCAGAATCTCCAAAAGTAATAAAATATTTATGTTTGCTTGGCCATATATCGCTGCATTTCTTTATTGGCTCATATGTAATAAAATGTCCAAAAGAACTGTCATTGTTGAGCTACAGCTTTTGTGCACTACGGACAGGCTACATTCATGTACTTAGATATGCAGACACACACAGCTTGGCCAATAGCAGTCAGAAGATACATGGAAATGTTTTATTTAACCTACTCTTATCTGTGCGGTGTGTAAATAATGGCTCCATACCCGCATACAGGTTGACAGATCCTACCATTTGTGCAGCTGCACCGAGCTACTTCTGGAAGATACAGCTTATTGTTCATCAAAGAACCCTTAAGTTTGCCATACACAGTAGAGATGATTAGATATCGTGCTAAGATATCAGATGTTAGACATCTGTCTGTCCTGCAACTTACTGGTTATCTTTTGTGTGTTTTGGCTGCTATGGATAAAACAGATAATGCTTTCTTCTCATTGATCTAATTAGTCCACTGCGCTCACTCACCATCAACAAGAACTATCAGAGAAATAAGGGAAGCAGCATATTTTTCTGGAGTACAGTCTGTAAGAAAATGTTACTGCAATTGACATACCTAAACATTTCAGCAAGGTCCACCGTGGCCAGCCAGAAACTGTATGAGTTTGCATAGTAGTTGCAAGTACCGCGGCCGTGACATTCAATAAAAGGAGCAGAGCGGAATTCCTCTAAACATGATCCAGGAGATGCTAAAGCTTGTCCTGAGCCTTCTGCACCAGCACTTGTATGCTAGGACAGGGAATAACAAACATGAATTCAGTGTATGAAAAATAACTGCATGCTTCCACTAACACTTAGTAATTGCAGATAAAAAAGTAGACAATGGAATTGCGAGTGAAACTGAAAACATGGGGTTGATGAGAGCTCTAAGCCCTGTGTAAGCTCCACCTTGTGCAACTCGGGGCTTCCTTTCCTCGTTCAAGTCATAATTAAAAGGAAAAAAGTTTGAAACATACCATCATGAATGAATAGCCAATCCAGAGAGAAGACCACCCTTGAGGACATGGAGGAATCTGAATGGTTTGGCTGTGAATGGCAATCACCATGGCAGGAGTTTCACAAACAGTGCACCTGTAACAGAGAACCTAGGTAAGTGTGACATCATACAAAAGATAATTAGCCTCATTCAGTATCATTTTACAGATTGGTAAAATATACCAGACTGCTGACATGCACTTGTTGCCATTTCTCTCAATATGCCTCTGCTGTATTTAAAACCTTTAATAATAATCTGCATCAGGTATATTTCATTATCAAATTACACTGAGTTTGGGGAACTACTGGACTCAGCAATACATTTTGTACAACTAGAAATCGTACTAGTTTTATATGATGAGATCTGTTTACATGCACTGTAGTTGTCCTTGGCTGGAAAAGCTTAGTCCCCAGGTCATATGCATGGCTGGATTGTAAGCCAAACGATTCATATGCATCAGTGGTTTGCCCATATGCTGACAAAGGTGACCAAAATAAAGCAATATGCTGGATGTGAGTCCAAAGCCAGGGGGTATTTTTCCAATACATAATTCTGGTGCCCAAATGAATCAGTGCCAAGAGCTTCCTCAGAGTGAATGTGCTGCTTCTTGGCTACCATTGTGCACATAGATGACCGCTCATATTTCTTTCTTTTTAGTAGCCCTAGTAAACTCTCTAGAAATATCACAGCTACCTGTGCAATGTTATTCTACTAGAACATGTCCTTTGAAGTGATTCTGACCAAATATCTTTAAATTGTAAGCCCTCACTTGCAGGGCCCTGCTTACCATCTTGTCTTGAATTGTTTTGTAATTGTAATATCTTCTTTATATTGTAAAGCACTGCGCAAACTGTTGGTGCTATAAAATCCTTTATAATAATAACAGCCATTATTTTCCCTTGGATTCTCTTTCCACTGGCTACGTGATTTTTTTATGCCATATTACTGTTAATGCTTAAAAACAGCATTATTTGTAATGTTGTACACTTGTAACTCTTTAAAGGAGAACTACATCTTTTACAGTCAAGGAAGGTGCTGTCCTCTATTTGGATTGGAGTTGCCATGACGCTGCACATGTGATCTGCTATGACATCAGACAATTGAGGGCCTGAAAGTTCGGTTGAATGCCTTGAAAGTAACTGTTTTGGGAGACCATTAAATTGGGGGTTCATGTTCAGCTATAACTAGCATGTTATAAGACAAACAAAACTCAAAATGTTGCAGGTAAAAAAAGGAATCACATATTACTTTATGTGTAGGTCTTGTGTAGGTCTTTACATTTGCTGGCTTATTATACCTTTTGAGGTCCTGTGATATAGTCTCATTTTTGTCCCCAGCTCTACAATTCTACAGAAGCCACTGCAAAGGTGTCATACTGTGATACAGAAGTAAAAACACAGAGGTGCTAGATCTTCTACTACTGGTATCCATCTTATTAAATCAAGCTAACTTGCTTTGCTCTTGCTGCTCCC